AGAAAACCCTCAGATTTTGAAAAACATGAGAAATATTTACTACTGCACTATTAAGCTTAACATAATAAAAACTAGATCAACATTTTTATATAAACAAACCTTTCAAAATCTAGTAATTTGCGTTTTTATTTTAAAAATTATTATTATTTTGTCTCAATTGCACCTCAAAGGACATTGACTATAGACCTCTACGGCGGTGTAATTACTTACACTATTCCATGTTTGTTTCCGAGCTTTGCGTAATTTTCTTACTATGAAAAAGAAGAGAAAAAAAAGCCAGGACTGCAGGCACAGTTCGACAGGTATGTGAGCTCGAGCCCTAACTTCTATGTTCGACCTATCCGTGTTATACTGTAATTATTAATACAAATTTTTCACAGCATTGTGTGGGCTTTTTGGGGGGATCTGACTTGTGAAGAACTAGTGTGGGTACTTCTTGATTACAGAATTTGTATGGTTGAAAATTTGGTTTAGGGGTGACTAATAGTGTAATGTTGGCCTCATTTGCGAATGAGTCAGCTGTGGGCTCCGATCCCAACAGTTTTGGAATAGCTATGACCTATTTTTTTTCATTTCTCATATTGTTCTCCTGTCTTGCACAGCATGCTTCAAAGAAAGGTCCTGAGCTTTGCTTGTGTTGTGAAGAAGGTGTTTGAATATGTTCCAAAGCTTGACCCTCATATTATTATTTTTTTTAATGCTCTGGGTAAAAGGAGACATATCAAATGATCTATTGTGATTAATGTATGTGTTCTTGAACAGGTCATACGTTTTAGACTTACAACCGGGCACAATAGGCTGAATCCACCCATATTATTATGCAGGAGGTAAATGAATGGCCAATTAGATACCTGCCCAGACATCACAATAACCATGAAAAAAAAGAAATTATTTATTCTCTTTCCTAAGGGTGGGATTGATTAAAAAATACAAGGGTGCATAAATCCAAAGTGATTGTACCAAGCAGATTTGAATCAAAATTGGCCCCTTTCATAGCGCTTATTTATTTATATTTTTTTGGTATGTGATTTATCTTCCGACCATGAAAGTGAAAACCTTTGGTCCAAATGAAGGACCATTAATTTATATTGACATTTTCTTCCTTTGCTCAGACTCAGATTGTCAAGTGTGGAGACAAGATGGCCACAGGAAGCAGTCTGGTTGTTCCCATGGTGCTATGGGGGCGCCGTGCTCCGACACATTGCATCTCTACCATTCTCATGACTCCTGATGGGAAGTTCATTGTTACTGGCTGTAATGATGGACAGATTTGTGTTTGGGATGTTCTAGAGCATTTTCAGGTTTGTACTGTATGTGGATTTGTTCTTAACATTTTGCAGTCACATAGCCAGCAATACAAAATTTCCTATCTGGTCATCTAGCCAGGAGAGTCGCTGCAACTGACTTTTTGGGCCTGTCGCAGATCTGCGTCAAGTGACCACAACGGATAATTTTCACCGTCGTATTATTGTGGCAAGTGACAGCAAAGTGCTGATGCACTGATAATGTTGTGTGGAATTATCACTGTAAGAATAGTTTTTAATCTCTTGATCAAGTCAGGTTAACCCCATGAGTTCCTTTGCTCTCTGTGAGATGCTTGAAATTATTCCCTTTTAAAAAAAACATTCTTTTAATTGTTGAATTGTCAAGGGTAGTTAATAATTTTGTGACTTTTGGAATATGTTCAAACTTGTGTCAGCTGAATTGTTAGAGATGAGATTTGTTGTGTTTAGGAATATGTTGTAGTTTGCATTAGACGAATAGTTTATAAATAAAATACTTTATAGTTGTGCGGTCATAGACAATTTTTGTACCTTTTTCGTATTTGTTTGCTACAAAGGGGATAAAAGTATTTATTTTTTAAATATAATTCTTGATTTCAGCAAAAATGGACCTCTGTCCAATTTGTGGTGAAAGATTTTTGTTGCTTTTCTTAATCTTCATGTTGGATATGACAAATCCTAGAATATCCCAGCCATAATATGTTACCATGAGACAGACAATCTGGCCAGACCTATGACGCTATGAAACCAGAACTGTGTGGTTTTGAGTGACTTGATGAGACATGTTCAAGCTTTGACTTTGATTGTATGTTTCAGGTTGCTCCGAGACATATGTTGTTTGGCCATACGGCTGCCATCAGTTGTTTGGCTGTTGGAAGTGAACATAAAGAGAGGCGTTACGTTGTCAGCTCTTCAGAAAATGGGTATGTGTAGTTCTGGTGTGATGGACTTTCAACATGGAATTGATAAGCAGTTTCTGCACAGGGTATTTCTTCGCATGACCCAAAGAAACTTTTAACAGTTGCTTATTGCTGGGTTTGAACACTTTAAAAAGTTGGGGGGGCG